ATCTAAGTTCCTTTATTTAAATAGAATAAACAATTGATTTGATGAAAAGCAAAGATTTTCTCAAGGTTTTAAAAAAATGTAATTTCCTTATTTTTTTAAACAATATTTTGTGTTGGTACAAGTAAATATGTTATTAGTACCTAAATAAATGATTTTATCTCTTGAATATTCTTTCTCTCAATGTAGCAAATTTTCTGGTAAAATTGTAACAAAATTATCAGTACGCTTGTAGCGTTGAAAATAAAAAAATTGAATTATAAAAACACCTGTGAAAATGAAATATATATCAGCAACATATATGCAAAAAAATAAACTTAAAAAAAAATTGAATTATAAAAACACCTGTGAAAATAAAATATATATCAGCAACATATATCCAAAAAAATAAACTTTAAAAAATAAGTGATTTGCAATTCAAATAATGGTAGTAATAATAATGTTTACGTTATTGGAAGTCATGAATATTGCAGAATGCAGATTTTAATATATGTTGCGAATAATAACAATTTAAATGATGTGCATACTCCGATACGACACACACATATACAAATACGGAAGAGCTTGTCCGATTTCGAGTCTACACCGCCGGCAGAGCTTTACTCGCCGTAAAGCCCATCGAGAAAGCTCTTTCTAATTTAATTAAAGACGCGTTCTCGTCGCTGGCAACAAAACGACACGATTTACATAACGACACTTGATCCTGGTCGTATCTCGTGCGCGTAGTAATCATTGCTAATTAAGAACCTGTATCCGACTCTGCTGCTGCTACTGCTTCTACTGCTGTTGCAAACGAAGCAAGAGGAGGAACAACACAATTATTTATGAGGCTGCTCTATGATTACGAAGTGGAATCGTGGAAGCGGCGACTAGCTGTCTGCTAGTAAATTGCACTGGCTCCATTCCAAAGAGCATGATGCCGGACGCGCGGGCAGGCAGCGCGGTTCGAAAGTCCGAGAAATCATTTGGAAGCGGACGGAATGAAAAATCGGCAACGCGCTGTCGTCGTTCACGTCCGATCTTTCGCCGCATACGTCTCTCGCGGTGCGAATCCCGGTGGGATTCCGTAGGCGGCGGTGGAGCAGGACGAGAGACGGAAGATTTCAGCATCACCGTTACTTGGCGAACAACGACGGAAAATGACAATGGAAACGTTGTGTGCCGCTTGGCGAAAAGTCCAATAATATCGTCGCGTTGGCGGAGGCCTGTTTATACATGCAATAACGGAAACATCGGTTACGTCTTAGACGAGTCTTTTGGCGCGAAGGGTGCTTCGTGAGAATACGATTTGCATATATAATTACAATGTTGTCCCACAAATACGCGCAGGTAGCGTTCATCGACGCAAATATTTAGCGTAGGAAAGATTCTGTGACGTGATGCTACATTTTGTTTGCGATAGTAGCGAGTCTCTCGACATAATACTGGTTATTTCATTCGCCGTTAATAAATTTTTTTTTTATAGAATCAACACACACATCTTACGAAAGCGTTTTGCATTTTTATGTAGTTACAAAAATTTGCAGAAATTATGTAAGAGCCGGACCCCGGAAAGAGAGGAAGAACATAAATAAGAAAAAATAAAAGTAAAATATGATGGTATATAAATTTTACACTGAGAGAGAACAAAATATTTATTCGAGGAATGGATTCTAATAACATATTTATACTTATATATAAATATATTTAATATATATAACTAATAATATGTAATATATAATATTTTAACTAAAATATAATTAATTAAAATAATACAATAAAATTAATGTAAAATAAAATTTTTTAAATAAGAAAATATAATTGTCTTAAGACCTTAGTTTTTTCATAAAAAAAATTATTTATTCTATTCAAATACAAGAATTTAGACTTAAATAAATATGTGATTAATACCTATCGGATAAGTATTTTTTATTTTCCAGGTATTTTGTCTCACAGTGTATTCATCATGATAAAGAAATCTCGATCGTGAGCATAAAACAAGGAACGTATTTCCTTTGCAGCGGAAGTCTATTCACCTTTCTCTCCCCGCCTCTCCTGTGCACGCTTGCCTCCCCCCAAATTATTTTTGCTTCGAGAAGTCAAATAAAACTAAAACACTATTAAGAGTCGGGCGAGTCAAAGTAAGGCGCTTCTCAGTAAGAAGCAAAGAAGAAGCGTTTCCGTAAATAAACCGACGGGATGCTGCCTCGGTGACCAAAAAGAGACGGCACGTGAGTCTCTCTCCGGAGGCGCAAATCTGGTAGGTCCAGAAAGCGCGGAGAGTTTCATGTGTCATCCCTTAACGATCCAGCGGGTGTATTTACGGACGATTAGATGTGACGCGGGCCGCGCCATCATCGTCATCCACCGATTCATCTAGCAGGCTCCAGTCGATTGTTCATTGATAAAATTGCGAAAGTATTTTAACACCGTCGCGATAAAGCGAGGACACCGAGGCGTCAATACGATATTGAAAGTATTGAAAGTATTTTAGCGCAAAAACTAATTATGCACATGATATTTATAGGCGCGGCGAGATGCTTAACACCCTCTCCGTAAATTTACACAAAGTAAAACCGTTATCTGCTCCTGCGACGTGTGACGTGACGTTGCTAATCTTGCGCGTGGCCATCACTTTATTCATCGCATCATCCTTCCGCATATTCATTAAACAGCCAATTTTCATTAAAAAGGACTCGGTGTGAAAATATAAACGGACCTTCGGTTTATAACAAGCTTATAGATTTTTATCCTCCCACAGCTAAAAGCATTATGCAGCCACAGTTAATAAATTCAGCACAAACATTTTGCACTCGACTCTAATTTGCTGAGTACTCGCATTCTATCATTTAATTAGGGTTTGGAAAGTTACTTTTTAAAAGTAGTGATTAGTTACAGTTTCCTTGGCTGAAAATGTAACAGTAGTACAATATATAACTGTAGTTACAGTTGCAAGTTACTGGCTATGAAAAGTAACTCGTTACAGTTACAGTTACTCAAACAGTAACGAGTCGTTATTTTTAAGTTACTTTTTTTAAATAATTGTAAATTTTTATTATAAATACAAAAATCTTACATTTTAAGCTTTACTAAAATGTAATAATTAAATTTTATAATTAATCACATTAATTGACTAATCTCGTCTAACATCTATCCTTTTAACAAACTTCACAAATCTGTACTTAATATAATAAAAATTTAATAGAGTAGTTTTATAGAGAGATAAAAGAATTTAATCACATGCTCCATAAATATGTTGATAAATTTATTAAATTAATATATATGATTACTATATAATTTTAATTTTATTTTACGTTGCTCAAGTAACTATTAAAGTAACTGTTAAAAAAGTTACAAGTTACTAAAAAAAAAATAACTAAGTTAAGTTACAGTTACAGGTGGAAAAAAGTAACTAAATTAATGCGGCAATTTACAATTCTATGCAATATATGCATATGTCGTATAATTACTGGTAAATATCTACGATGTAATTTACGATATTTACAAGTGATTGTATGACATATAATATTGTATACAATTGTAAATCTACTCATAAATTCTTACGAATTTTATGAGAACAAGTTACGAGACTTACGATTCCGCTTAGAATTGCAGTATAAGTTACAGTTACTGAAAAAATGTAACTGTAACTTTGTTACGAGTTACTTCCCAACTCTGCATTTGAATTTAAGTTGTCTGAGTTTGATATTAAGTTGTTGCAAAGGATTTGTTATTTTCCTATTCAATTTTCGCAGAAAGTTTGAGTGTTAAAAGGAAAATAGAAAGTTCTCGTTAGATATCTAAAAAATACCAATTTGATGTCGCTCATTTTATTCATAAAAATTATTAAAATTCCTTAAAATTGTAAAATTTTGGTTCCTATTTTATTCGATAAATACAACAAACGAAATTTTCTATATCAAGTTAATATTTAAAGCCATTAGAAAGAGGATTGATTTTTTGTTTTGTTCATACGACATAAAACTTATGTATAGAAGAATCGACAAAGTGCACGGGAAGGATATTATAGTAAAAGATTATTTGAAATTATATGAAAAAAAAAACTACAACTTTTTCTCCGCGTGGCCGTTCTCAACTGTCGTGATACAGTTTTACTTGATCTATACGCGTTATGGAATTTATGAAGATCACGGAAGAACGCGCAATAAGTTTTCGCCTCTGATTGACACCATTGATATTTTACGATGTGAACGAACGGCGTGTGTAAAAAAACTAGAACGAACGGATCACATGATTGTGTTTCGTTCGTGCCATCCCTGGTGGGGATCGAACCCACGACCTTTGGATTAGAAGTCCAACGCGCTATCCTCTGCGCCACAGGGACGTGATGGTCTTCACAGGCCAGAAGCTACGATACGAATTGTGCGGTACATATTTCTCCTCTGATAGATGTCGCTAATGCGCGCGATGATCATAACGTTCAGTAGCGCATGTCGAAGCTTCAGACACAGACACGAATGATACAAATTGTCGTATATTACCGCCATTGTTAATCTCGCAAAAGTGAGTTAATTCCAGTCTTTTTTTATTCCTAAACTCCTCACGTGGATTCGTATCTTCGGGAATTCCCGCCGAAGGTAACTCTTCTCAGCAATCGCGAAAGCGAAAAATTACACGTTAACGACATACTTTTTCTGAAATCGAAGACTATCGAAAAAAAGAATAAAGAATACGAATATATCAGGTTGGTAAAGAAAATTTGTTATTTTTCTATGAATTTCTCGTAGGAGATTTGAGTATCAAAAGGAAAATCTTCGTTAGATGTCTGAAAAAATACATCGAGTGAATGTTGTTAATTTAATTCGTAAAAACGGCTAATATCCATCAAAATCAGGTAATTTCGTTTATGATTTTATTCGACAAGCATACGAGCTGTTACTGTAACTTAGTAAAATGGGTAACATGAATTTCAGAGGGTAGTCGATGCTTTCGCTTATGGCGACGAACGACTTGCGCCGCACCTGCGAGCTGCCACAACTAGTGAGGATGCAGCTGGCGAGGGGAAGGGACCGGACGGGAAAGATGGCCGTCGCGGAACATATGACAAAGAACGGCGGGCTCCCGTCGCGACCGACGACGGCGACATCCTCGCGACGACGACGACGTGAAGGACGCGTACATCGCGGCACCGCCGATCGTCGTCGTTAACCGCCGCCTGCCGGCGGCCGCGTCGTCGCGTCGCAGCGCGTTCTACCCGGTGCAACGTGCGGCGGCGGGGCGACAGGAGAAAGGAGGAAATTCGCGTGTGGGAGTTCTCTCGGACAGGTGAGTCGAAGTCGGGAGAGCGCGCCGACACCGACGCCGCCGTCGCCGCCGCGTCTCCGTGGTCGCTGCTCCGTGTTGCTGTCTGCCGCCGTCGTCGTCGTCGCCGCCGCCGCCGCCGCCGTCGTCGTCGTCGTGGTATCCGTGCCCGTGTCCGCGACAGTGGTGATATAGCGCGGCGCAGCGGGGAGCCATGACTACGCGTGGAGAATGGGCTCGATCGCGTCGGTGTTGCAGTGGCATTGCTCGGAGTGCGCTCTGATAAACCCGACGGAGAGCGCGAAATGCGCCAGGTGCGGGCTGACGCGGCTCAGGAGCGACGAGAGGACCAGCCACGGCAGGCTCGACCGTGCGACCAGCAGCGCGGAGCGTAGCGGAGGTAGCGCGCCGCGGCAAGAGGCTGCTGTTGGAGCGGCGGTCGCGCTCGCGGAGGCCAGCGAGCGACAGCCGACGAGGGAAAGGCACGACGACGTGGAGGACCCGAGATCCTCCGGGGAATCGACACCGCCGACGCCGCCGCCGAGGACTAATAGATTGGCGCGCAACCTGATCACGGGCTCCACGTCGTTTCCTGCTGCCGGCCAGTGCAACGAGTCCCGACGTGCTGCTGCTCGCGGGTGAGAGTTGCGATTTCCTACCCCTTCGATCATCCCCTAACCCTCTTTCTCTCTCTGTCTTTCTCTCTCTCTCTCTCTCTCTCTATTTGACTTTTTACCATGTGTGTTTTGTGTACGTTGCGAGAAACGGGAAGATTGTGGAATGTGCTCCTGTTTGTCGCGCCTGAGTACACATCGATTGTCTGGTAGTATTGTTGTTCACTTTATTGTAGAATGTGATTGATTCTCTTGTGTTGAATTTATGTGAGTACCTTTGGAGTAGACTTGGACTTGGCGAAATATATGCCATTTAGTTACTTCAGTGTGCCTCGTTGGAAATTTTGTGATTATATTGTCGAATGTGTTTGTATCATGATAAACAAGCTTATAAAACAAAATTGAACTTCTCAGATGTGAATTTGACATTTTATGATAACAGACACCAGGTCAAGGGTTTGCCCAGGGGTTATGTCATATGTTTTATTCATGCATTTAAAGGGTGTGCGAGAGACGCAAAGAAATCACAAAATATTTCCTTTTAATACATAGGCATCTCTCCTGTGTTCTAAAAAGAACATTTTGTGATTCTTCCCCACTGTCGTTCTCACAATACCTAAACAAAATGTATAGCCAACATGGGCCAACTTGACCTGGTCTCTCCTAAATTTAATATTCTGATGTTATATAAAAAATATAAACACCAGTTGAGGTTGCCTTATATGTGTATTATATTCTATCTTGTTACATTTACAGTATTAAGAGGTATCTGTCTGCAACTGATGTCAGAAAGAATTCGCATCGTGGCTCCTGGAGTGGGATCTCATCTGACAGAGAACCGTTGAAGCGTGCCGCATCTCTACCTTCTTTAGTTACACAATGGACTTGTATTCGATGTCTACTGGACAATTGCTGCAGCTCGTTGATTTGCGCTGCTTGTGATGCTAGTTCGTCGATAGCTCAAACTGACAGGAGACAGATTGGTGCGCGCAAAAGTAAGAAAATTAATCTGCATAAGGAAAATCGCCTGAAAATCACATCGGGACTTTTGGCCAATGTCTTAGATACGGATGCTGGCACAAGTGGCTTTGGTAACGATGATAAAATTAATAATACAGGTAAGTCTCATCTCTGAGAGACAATGTAGAGATTAAGATCTTTTAAGCGATTAAGAGATTTTTTGTATACTTATCTAATAGATAAAGATATGATAAATGAAATAATAGATTGTATGTTTATCTATTCTTCTATCTTGTACAAATCACTGAATTATGTTATCTCGAAACATTCCAGGCATGGCACAGTTGACGAGTATAAGTCGGAACCAACGCGAGAGAGTGGACCACAAAGACTGGATTTTACCGTCAATTGGAACGATGGAGTCCACGACGCTTCCGTTCGCAGATAATACTGACACCTCTCAACGTTCCCCAAAGCGGCACAGTCCCTCAATGTATGAGCGAGTCAAGTCCAAAGTCAGTCGTTCTCTATCAAACGGCTCCGTCGTTCAAAAACTTTCGGAACACGCTGTCCAGAGACCCACGAGCCTGGTGGTGCCGGAAGCGCGTCAAGACGATGGCCTGTGGAGCTGCGATAACTGCACGCTAGACAATGCGCCCGGTCTGGAACAATGCGAGGCGTGTGACGCGCCCAGAAGTCCGGCGCCTTGCAGCGGAGTGGTTATCAGCGTGCCGGCTTGGGTACCGCGCGCGTTATCGTCCGCGGGACCTCTGTCTTATCGGAGATCCTTTTCCGACGTTGACTCAGTCGCGGGTGTAACACAGAAGAAGACTGTCAATCGTAGAAGTCTGAATGACGAGGAGCCGCCCGCAGTGCCGCCGCATTCTATTGGCTTCAACACGAGACCAAAGTATTCCTACATTGGGATCACGGATCCTGATATACCGCCGCCGTTGCCAAAGAAACAGAGCAGTAAGTTAGGTCTAATACCGACGAAGGCGCACAGCGAGGCGACCAGTCCGGTGGGCGAGATACCGAGCGTGAGTCCTCTCAAGCGCATGTGGACCTGCAGAAAGTGTTCTTACGCATACAATCCGTTATGGTCGGGCGGTTGCGACATCTGCGGCTCGTCCAGATCGCCGCCGTCGTTGACGCAGCCCAGCCTGATCACCGTCACGAAGGACACCAGCAGCTATCCGACACATGCACAATCCCCGATTGTAGTAGCGGGTGACAGTGTCCGATATATCCCACCGAAATCGGCTACGTTGGCTACAGCAGAGTCCGATCTGGACGATCAAATCGACCCTCCGTCGCCGGTATGGACGTGCAAGAAGTGTACTCTGCTGAACGCCGCGTCGAGAACAACGTGCGAGGCTTGCTGCGGCTCGAAGCTCAAGAGTATCATGCACCTGGAGGATGCCACCTTGCGAAAGGGCGAGAGCTGGGTGTGTCCTTCGTGTACACTGAGGAATCCCCTGTCGGCGCAGAACTGCAACGCCTGTAAGACATTAGCGGACTTTCTGGAGGTTCCGAAGGACAACCGAGCTCTGGGTCAACGGAGTCCAAGCCCAAGACTCTGCCCGACCTCGGCGAATTCCAAAGCGGTCACCCCGAGGCATCGAAATTCCGTGAGGAGAAACGGCTCGTCGGCGGGAGATAAGAGGCACTCAAGGACCAGGGACTCTTCACACGTTCAAGTAAGTAGTTCTCTTCTCGCGAAATTCTCGGAAATGGCTCATTGATACGAACGTATAACTGTTTTCTAAGACTACGAATTCGTTATATTTACGATTTTCTCTTTCGTGTGTTCAGTGGCAATGTAAACTCTGCACGTACGAGAACAAAAGTACGAATGCCATCTGCGAAATGTGCCAAAGCTCGAAGTCGTTGTCCCAAGTATCTGGAGACAGAGGGATATCCAGGCTGATCGAGTCCGGCACTAGTACCCTTAGAATACAGCGGCAAGAAAGCGTGGTGATGGAAAACCTCAGGCAGCTGGAGGAAAGAGAAGCGCTTGAAAAGTGGGAGCGTATCGTGCGATACTGCAAAGAGGTAGTAGCACAAATCTAAAGTATAATCCGAAGCGACTCTGGATACGTTAAGAGAGCTGTCGATGAAATTAAACACTTCTCACACGTGTATTTCACAGACAAACGAGCCATTCGTCGACGATTCGTTTCCACCCGCTCCGAAATCCTTGTATTATAATCCCGCGGACACGAAGGATAATCACGTCGTCCAATGGAGAAGGCCGCATCAGATTAATGTGGACTCAAGTGTCGATTCTAAACTGCCTTGGGCTGTCTTTAGGACACCCTTACCTTCTGATATCTCGCAAGGTGTCTTAGGAAATTGTTGGTTGCTGTCGGCTCTGGCTGTTCTGGCCGAGAGCGACGAGCTCGTGAGAAGAGTTCTGGTTATGAGGGAGACATGTCCCGAGGGTGCTTACCAAGTCAGATTGTGTAAGGATGGCAAGTGGACGACGGTGCTCGTTGATGATCTACTACCCTGTGATAAGAGAGGCCACTTAGTGTACTCTCAGGTATGTATCCGCGAGTGATCCGTTGTGTTTCCATTTGTACGACACTGAAGTCGTTGGTAACGTGCATATCTTATGTCGAAGGCAAAACGGAAACAGCTCTGGGTGCCGTTGATCGAGAAAGCGGTTGCTAAGATACACGGCTGTTATGAAGCCTTAGTATCCGGCCGTGCTATAGAGGGTCTAGCGACACTGACTGGTGCCCCGTGTGAGAGCGTGCCTTTACAACCTTCAGCATTGCCAAGCGAAGACGAACTCGACAGGGACCTAATATGGGCACAACTTTTGTCCTCGAGGCAGGCCATGTTTCTAATGGGTGCTAGCTGCGGAGGTGGTAATATGAAGGTTGACGAGGAGGAATATCAACGTAAAGGTTTGAGGCCAAGGTACGCAAACAACTTGAAAACAAAGTTGCTCTTTGTTTCTTAGATTAAATATCTTAGATTAGATTAGATTAGATTTGTATAAAAGATTTGTCATTTTTCTACTAAATTCTCGCAGCAAGTTCTCGTTAGGTATCTAAGAAAATACCGAATCGATGCTGTTCATTTTATTCGTAAAATTTATTAATCTGTCGGAATTGAATAATTCGGTTTTCATTTGACAAATACGACAGATCTTTTGCACCGATCTAATATGCTAATTTCGCTTATATAACCCGTGAATTTGTTTGATCGATGATCGAAACGTTTTTTCCAGGCATGCATATTCTGTCCTCGATGTGCGCGATGTACAGGTAAGGTTCGCGAACGACGAAATAAATCTAAATTCGCACTTGATTTCCTTGCTACAAAAAAAGATATTTATTGCACAGGGAATACGGCTGTTGCGACTACGCAATCCTTGGGGTCATTACAGTTGGAAAGGGGACTGGTCGGACGATAGCCCTATATGGACTCCGCAATTACGAGAGATGCTTATGCCGCATGGTGCTTCGGACGGTGTCTTTTGGATATCTTTTGACGACGTTCTAAAGTATTTCGATTGCATTGACATCTGTAAGACGAGGGTTGGCTGGAGCGAAGTGAGATTACGCGGCACTTTACCTCCGTTGTCGTCCCTTAGGCACTTGTCGTGCGTTCTTTTGACAGTATTAGAGCCCACGGAAACAGAATTTACGCTGTTCCAAGAGGGCCAAAGGTAAAGAACAATTATCAATCTACAATACGAGCACATGTTATAAGACACGGATTTTAACGAGTGTACAATAATTTCGCAGAAACTCGGAAAAATCGCAACGTTCTCAACTGGACTTGTGCGTAGTAGTCTTTCGCACGAGATCTCCGGCCGCCCCGGAAGTCGGTAGACTAGTGGAACACAGTAAACGGCAAGTACGCGGCTTCGTTGGTTGCCATAAGATGTTGGAGAGGGATCTGTACATCGTCGTGTGCCTAGCCTTCAATCACTGGCACACTGGAATGGAAGATACGTCCAGTTATCCGGAATACGTTCTCGCCATTCATAGTTCGAAGAGGCTTCTAGTAGAACAGATCTCGCCGCCTGCTTTTGTCCTGGCTGATGCTATTATTAGCCTAACATTGGCCAAAGGACAACGGCACGAAGTAAGCAATTGTAATACATATATTATTATACATAAAATAAGCAGTTATGCACAATAATGGACAAATACCTCAACTCTTCGAACGCTGATACATAAATATTTCATACAGGGTAGAGAAGGTATGACTGCTTATTATCTAACCAAAGGATGGGCCGGTTTAGTGGTAATGGTCGAAAATCGTCACGTGAATAAGTGGATTCACGTAAAATGCGACTGCCATGAAAGCTATAACGTCGTGTCCACGAGAGGACAACTCAGAACTGCCGATAGTGTTCCACCCCTTCACAGGTAAGACATCGTCTCACCTCGTTTCGCTCGACGCGCGTCTCCACCTTACGTCGTTTCTCACATTTCCAGACAAGTCATCATAGTTCTAACGCAGTTGGAAGGTAGCGGAGGTTTCTCTATAGCACATCGACTCACGCACAGACTAGCTAACAGTGGAAACCTGCACGATTGGGGGCCGCCTGATACACAACATTGTCCCCAAATCGATACTCAGGTGGAAGGTTTGCACAGTCCTCGCTTGATAACGTGAAACTAAGAACATGATGTAGCGATAATCAGATCGAAATTCTGGACACCGCTCGGGGAAAGTGCTGTCGATCGTAAATCAGAAACGATTCTTGTACATGCGACGTTCGAGAAATTGACTGAAAAGAAAACCAAAGCAAGCTAGAAAGATTTCAGAGTACAGTAAGACGTTCCCGCGACATTAGGATACTCTTTGTGCTTTCTAGCTGATAATATTCCACGGATGCTCTTAGCGTTGCAACATGCTCAGCATTGGACGTAATACAATAAGTAACAATTAATGTACAATGGTTCTGGACCCAGTGATTAATGATAAAGATATCTTCTTTCGAGTAGACAGTACGTCACGCACTTTGCGCTAACGAGGGAATGGACAAACAAAAAAAAAAAAAGAAAGAGAGAGAGAAAGAGAGAAAAGAGTAAAATGAAACGTGCAAATTAAGTGTTTCTGCTGGAACCATTGAGCCGTAAAGAAGACTTATGGAAAATTGAATATTTATGAAGAAACAAGTTGAACATTTTGCTTGTTATATAAACAAAAAAAATTATTTTCTCAACTTAACATTTAAGCATCGTAAGAAATGACAAAACCTAAAGATTACACAATAATATAATGTAAAATGAGAAACCATTAGGAGACACTAAGGATGTGTGTGAACACCGTACACATTGTTTTTGGAATTGCTTAGAGTGTAGTACGATTGCGGATCGGGACATTTCCAGTTTAACCGACGTTTACACGCCGATCTCTTATTGCTGTACACGTAAGGCCGCATTTTGAAACCCACATTTGTGTGTGTGAGGGAACTCGAGTTCTTAGTTCTCCATTTAACATGTGCACGATAAACGACAAAAAAAGAAAAGAAAAAACAGGCTGGATCCTTACGCACGAGGGTTCTCATGTATCGACCGTAGTGGCATAGGACGTTTAACTTATCTAGACTTTGTTGTTCCCATCTTGCAACTGGATGGAGAGCTTGTGCTAAAAAAGAAAAAAAAATAATGGACGTAGCGCGCGGCTACAGAACCAAAGATCTCTCTTGAAAGTTTTAAAATATCTCGACGCGTTCACTGCCATTCTATGCAATGTATATAGCCTACTTTTGCTTCTGTTACAAAGTTGCTTGTGTTAGTCGGGGGCAGAATCGGAATCGTCGACGACATTTCTCGCGCACTGATTACGTTCTCGTTTGCCTTTGGTCGGTACGTTACGAAATACATGCGCAAGCATGGCAGTCAGCGGGTTAGACTCTTTAATTCTGTGTTCATGTGCTCTTTAAGAGAGAAAACATATATATATATATATATATATATATATATATATATATATATATATATATATATATATATATATACACATATTAACGTATTATCTCTCGTTTATATACATCCAGCCAATATCGTAGCTGTACCATCGGAGAGAGTAATATGTCCGTTTATTCGCATAGAGGACGCGTCCGCGAATCTGATCTCTTGCGTTTGGTAAAGAAATTGACATCGGCACATCGTTAATTTTTTAAAGAACACACTTGTGGTGAGCGAGTGAAACGACACGTTACATAGACGTTTAATCAAATCTTCAAATGCAAATATTTTGTTGAGACGAGAATATATTTAAATATTTGAAGTACATAATATTAAAATATAAGTACGATCCACTGTGCGATCCGTACGGGTGCTCAGTTATACCGATCGCAGGTGGTGTTTAAATCAAGAGAATCGAACACAAATTATGTATCATACTGATTTTTAACAGTTTTCATCTCCGGACATTTTTCAAGCTCGATATATGCAAGTGTATATTGCAATATGTTTTCAATGTATTGCGTAAATCGGTGAGCGCCTGATTCACCCTTTTGAAACGGAAAGATCTGATGTTTTGGCTCTAATGTCAAACTGCCATATTCCATGTTTTCAGACAATGTCGAGACGATCGCGCGCGATCGCGTGTCTGGCAGTAGCGATTACATCGAATCAAAAGAAAATTGTCTGAAGCTCTCTATATACATTGAATGTGGTGATGCGACAATACGCGATGCTGTGATCAGTCGATGATGCTTTGAGTCAAACCGGAAAAGTTTGTCGAAAAAAATTCTCTGTTTGACCGACTGCGAGCGTTGTGTGAAAAAAAAAACGCTGTTTCACTCAATAGTACAAAATTACCCATTTTACGATTTACTACAAAAAATTCGCTTGTTTCGTCCGAGTGATGTAGTACAGACCGGCATACATCAGTGCTGTCATTATAACCTGGGTGCTCAAACTCACTGATATTATTCGAGATATTAAGCAGTTTTGAATCTGCAATACATTTGTTCGTTATTTGTTAGGAAACTTGGCGGTTAAGTAACATCTGGAACTCGGATAACCGAGTAATACTCGAAAGATCTTGGGAATTGACACCACTAGTGTATGTACATGTCTCAGGACATAATATGATTTTCAATCGTATTCACACAAGGTATGATTGAAAGTCGTAATATCTCTAATAATGTAAGTGTTGGGACTATATATTACGCCGGCCTTTGTACACCAGGTTTGAACACTTTTACTCACGTGCAGTTCAGGACGCAGTCAATGGTCCAATATAAGAACTTGTTTTTCCCAGAAATTCTGTCATTGGGTCATTGACTGCATTTCAAACTACATCTAAAAAGAAGTGTTCAAAACGTTTTGGGACGCAATGTATACTCAATTACACAGCGGTTTGCACACGTTTCTTCTGATGAAATTAGGAACGCATCAAATCGCGATTGCGAGTCACTGTTCACAGGTTTACATTGGTAGGGCCGTGGAAATGGAGACTCTATTCTGACTATAGTAAGAATGAACCAAGCATGAGACGAAATCTGAAGATCAGGTAAAAAGGAGACGGATGATAGGTACTTGTATCTTTCTCTCTCACTCTTTCCTAGTTAGAGAGAATGCTATACGGCACCTGCTTTTTATCCTTTTCTATCTGATCTACCTGTTCTTCACTCCAAGTGGAGCACACGCTCGATTTATTCTTACTATGTCTATGGTTCTAACTCCAGTTTCTGGACTTGATACAAATAATCATTACATCAAATATCCGACTTCGAAATCGATGTAACGATTTCAGAAATCGGGTTTAAGAATGAGTACCATTTCGCGCAGCTCCAGCAATCAATTACGACGAAGGTGGAATAGCAATACACTGTGTAAACAGTGACCCTTTCTTACATCTTAATTTGTATTGTATCTTAAAACGTCCTTTTTGAGGAAAATTTTACTGAAAATCTATAGTATATGTAACATGAACGATAAAGATTTCTTGGAAAATTTTTGTTTCCTCAAGAAAAAAAGGATGTTTTGGAAAGCAATCTTGATAAAGGAATAATAGAAATGCGAACTGTCGTGCAAACGAGTGTACACACGGGAATATAATCGCGTGAGTTTTATGTTGAAATAGCCGTCAGCGTCGGAATTTGTACGCTTTGTAATCTCATTCGCTCTTCTCGAGTTGAACGATTAGTAGAGACTGATATTCGCATCGACACACACTACTTGCGCGTATCCTAAGTTTCCGTCACGGCGACAGTGCAGATTATATTCGAGAATCTCATTTCCTTTCTCTCTTGTTTTCGTAATATTGCGAGTTGCGATTTTCCACTCGTGAGATTGTTCCCCCGCGAACGGACGCACAGCGCAAGCGGAACAACTCTCATTCCTCCCTCCCCCTCCCTCCCCCCTTCGTCGATCTCAAAACAGCAGGCCGAATTTGTCTTAGCAGGGCCTAAGCGCTAGTGACTAGTTTTTAAGGATTACAACACGAGGAACATAGTCTCGAGGAAATGTCCGTTTTCAACAATCCGTGATGCGCGTATTGACGGAAATACGTCCAGATAATCAGTCTTAACAGTGATGCGCTCAAAAGTTCAGTGAACGTTTACGAACGAGAGATTCGGATTCCCGCGCGATGGCTTGCGACTCGAACGGCGTTTCGCGCACCGGCCGGCCGAATTTTCGGGACTTGACCGACCATGCGCGCGCGCGCGCGTAACGTCGTTTGATTCGCTGAGTCATCGAAGGAATTTATTCTTTACGAGTAAACTACTTAATATTTGCAGTAGGTTCTGTATTGAGTGGCCTTCGTTTACAAAGGATAATAGTTTCGTAAATATAAAGACACGGATTCACCGTCGGAGTTGTGCGCTTCACGAGGATTTCCCGGACGGAGGGGGTCGCGTCGGCGCGCAAAGTCGATCTGTTCATCGACGGGAGACCGGAGCGAATTAATTCGAGGCGAAACGCGCGAAGGATCGAGATCCCAAGAAGACGGAAGTCTCGTCCCGTCTCTCGCCACTCTCGAAGCGTACAGCTCTCGTTGTATGAGATCATGCGCGCACATTCTTAAACACACGCAATAAGGTACCGAAGGCTAGAAAATCACGCTGTCGTGCGTAAAGTGGCGCGGAGCGGGCGGGCAAGATTGATTCTCATTTTTTCTACCACACAACACGCGAGCGTGAGATTGCGTTTTACGCGGCGGCGGCGGCGGCGGCGTTACGGGGAGAGGGATCGCGGAAACGCTAAATAATAATCCAGTGCCATACGACGGAGTCGTAGCGAGCTGTACACAGGACGCCAATAATGCCTTCCATTTCCGGTTAGGCTGTTTTAGCTTGGGCGCATCGTATCTGCATATTTTGTCTATCATAACTGTCGCTTTCGAAAAGAATCAGCAACTTTGTCATATCAAATGCAACGGTAATATACAAGGTGAATGCAAGGTAATATACAAGGTGAATGTAATATGTATTATTACTGTTGCATTTGACCGCACACGGAAAAATATATGCTACATTCGTGTAAATGTCACTTGTTTCAGGTTTATAAGTTTACATACCCGCAGATGTATCAGAATTCATTGTAAGCACATCAAATTTGTTCAAAATATATTCTGGGAATCTTAGTAAATTTAATTATTCTAATTAATTTAATATTAAATTGAAACAAAAATTGGCTTGCTTACCACATAGAGCCGAATCAACTTTCTCTTCGATTAAGTTTTATGATATTTTTGTAAAGAGAATAAAGTTTTCTTTCGAGTAGTAATAAACTTTTCTAAAATTCGCCGCAAGTATATTTTAAGATTATTATGAAGAAAATAGTCTTTGTTGAAAATGAACATTATTATTGAAATGTAGAAAAGTAAACCGAGTGATCACTTTTCTTAGCAGTAGATTTTTTTCTGTGTGTGAGTTACCGATTTTTCTCAAAAACAATAGTGTCATGATACAAAAATATGTAGGTGCGATGCGTCCGAGTCAAAATACCTTTAGCCGGAAATGGAAGGCATCATTGGAGTCCTGTGCAGCTCGCGTGAAGAAGCAGAAGACGGACGGTACGGACGAACGGCGAGCCCCGACGATGACCGTACATTCGCATGTCATAATGTAACGTATAAGGCGTTTCTCCACAAAGAATAAACAAACAAATAATCTATTTTACATATTGCATAATCACCGAGGCTAAAAGGCGTCAAGGCGTTCCCGTTCAGCGGCCCGCGGAGACCGCGGACTCGCCGGCGCTCTGCTCGTCGAGACGGCGACGAACAATTCGTTTATCTAACGGGTGCGGCTTGGTACACGCGCGTATTTTTACTAAACACACACGTGAGAACACACACGCACATAGCGAATCGATGTAATAATAGGTGTTCCTTGCAGCTGAACTAGTACACACTTTCGTTACTTAAAAGGAAAGAGGCACGTAGCTGTGTGACTTGGTGTAAAGTATATATATATATATATATATATATATATATATATATATATAAAGAGAGAGGAGGACTAGTTTCAAGCTGGTGCAACCAGTTCAGCTGCAAAGAACAGACCAAATATCAACGCGCCGGAAGCGCGACAATCGACGTCGCTCCGTGGCTGTTGTGAGACACGAGGCCGGGAAATGTCGTGCGACCTCGGCGCACGATTTCGCGCGACGTCTCCTTGGAAAAGCTCTCCGGCAAAATCGAAGCTCTCACGGCGATCTGCCGTGACGACGATCGTTGCGTCGCTCTCGACCACGACAATTGGACACGGAGCCTTGCTTCGGCTCGAAAGCGACTCTTATCTTGTGGAAAGCAACTCGCGAGAAATAAGTGCGCAGTGTGATGGGACTCGCTACGCCAGATCTCTACCATTTCAGCTTCACCCTCGGGGAACAAAGGAGAGAGCGACGTCGATTGGCGCGGTTGCGTGATTTTGATATATTTTGATACGACGGAGAAGAGCTCGATCGTCGCCGTTCTGTCGAACGATCGCCGCCAGAGACCCGCGCGAGCTCGAGGCGGACGAGAGATGTGCATTTAGGGACAACCGTGCGTTTAGATTAACGTACATTTAGAGCTCACCGTGCGTTTAGCGCCGCGCCGACTCGTCTTCACTTGGCGAGTGAAAGATCTAAAGGTCACAATCGCGGTCGCAATTCTCCAGGCCCGATTTGCATAATCGGCTTAATCGAAACCGCGGTTTCTTCATCATTCGACATTCCTCTCTCTCTCTCCGCGTTGTGAGGAGCATATAAGCGGTACTCGAGGCAAAAATAAAGTTCGGCACGCTTGAGGAGTGTCTTCTCCGGCGCCGTAAGCGACGCTAACGCTAAACGCGCGGCGAGAATACGGGCCTACGTAAACACAAACATCCTGGAGGAAGTACTATTTGTAAATAGAGAGGAATAATTTATTCTATTTATGGGAAAGAAGGAGAAGAAGCGAGAAAGAGAGAGAGAGAGAGTGAGAGAAAGAGAAAAAGCAAGAAAAGAAAGAGAGAGAGGGAGAAAGCCAGAGAGAGGAGTCGTGCACCGTTGCGTTACATTTGAGTTGTTTTGCATGTGCTTCGGTGTCTCCGTCACGCGCGGCTGCAAGCCGCGCGGCGAGTTCGTAATGCATTCTACATATAATTATATATAAAAAAAATATATATATTATATATATATGCATAGCGCAGAGAGAGTTAGAGCGATATACCGACGATCGACACACATACACATACGACGACGACGTCGGCGGCGACGCGCGAGTCGCAGATATTCGTCCGGGTTCGGCGGTGGCACACGGAAAACCCCGATTTAGAACAATATCAGCTCACCTGGACATGATTCGCGCGCGTTCCTGCGCGCGAATGATCGTTCCACCGAGTTCGTCCCGGCACCCCCTCTCGCTAATCGCCGCCGATCGGCGAGAACCGGCCGATTATTTGCGGACGCGCTCGCGCTCGCGTCGCAACGTGGAGTACCTAGGGATACACGTGTGCGTACGGAGGACACGTGTGCGCACACATTTGTGCACGTGCACACGCGTGTTCTCAATGCCACGCGGAGAAGAAATATAAGAATTAACGGTGTTTCGTTGTATTTGTATAATAAGGTGTAAAGAAAAAGGAAAAAAAAAGAACAATGGTGTCATTCTCATGGTCATTGAGCGACTCGTACTTCATAAATGATGCTACGTACCGGGTGCATTCTAAATTGCATACAAGCGTCTACCGCGTATCCGTGTTTCCGATAGTCGATACCTCGGAATCGGAACGAGCAGTGTCGCGAGCGATGTTGAGAGGGGACGTCAAAAATCTACAAAATTGAATTTCACACGCGACACAGCAGAATCACCGGTGTGAGACATCCAGATCGGAGGTTCTGAGGAATAAACGCTGTGTAAAAATGTCAAATTTATATGTATATATATATATATATATATATATATATATATATATGTAATTATAATATAATTATATTATAATTATGTGAAAAATTATGATATAATTGATAATTATATATAATATTCGAATTATATTACAACATTCGCAAATTGTATGATATTCTATATTGGGAAGGGAGAGACGAGTTTATTATCCAGACGTGTCGCTTGTCTCGACTTCGAACACGATGAATACTGACTCTTCCAGTTCCGACGTATCGATCCTTGTGGCGGAAATTAAAATCGATGTTCGAGCGAAACGTATAAGCGAGAACAGAGCGGGATCAGGTGCGGAAGGTTGAAGATAGCGCGGCGTAATGTTAAAAATCACGTTTTTTCACACGTATTTGTGGATTATCGACGACGTTTCCGAGGAAACGGTCTCTAAAGAATTGTAAAGAATCGGATAATTAGCAAATTGAAACGGGAAAAGGGGGACTTGCTTTTGGAGCACGTTACTTTTATGTCGTTCAGCTCGCGGCTGTGATCATTTTAGAAACACCCATGTACGAACCCGAACCAGCAATCAACTTTGTGATAGTCTGTGTACCGAATCTGATGAACATCGTTAAATTAATCCCATCTCCTCCTGTAGGTAAGGTGTATAATTATTAGAGAGTCTCATCACACACGTACACGCAAAAGAGAGAAGGGAAAAATAAAACATACATATTTACTACGTCATAAAGTGATAATGAAATTGTGTTGTCCCCTGATTTGTATCATGTAGGCACGTTTAATAATAAACCGAAATATTATCTAGACTGTGTCCGTTCTTCTCACCTGCGATTCCGCGTTAAGAATCTTGGGCATGCGTTCCCTCTCGTTCCTGACGTCATCAATCCTGAGCGAGCACCCAGGAGCCTTGTCGCTCAGCATGCATATAAGAAGGCATGAAATCGTGCATCGCGCGATTCCAACTTAAAATCATTCTGTAGTCCATAATTAGCGACGAGGTCGCTTTATATTCAGATGGATTTAGATACGGGGCGTAAATACATGTCGAATACATTGCTACATCCGATTTACATGCAATCCATAGAAAAATCTCAATTCCCTACGCTGTACGGAAATAGTAGCGTGTATATGCGGTCGTTCGGTCTATAATTAAACGCGACCACCGCGCTAGCACAGGCACCAGTTCAGTGTGATAAAGTTAGCAGTCGGTGTATGATGTTTTCGTGACAAACGCGATTCCACCTCCGGAAATTGAAGAAATCTAATAACGTGTAATTCCGAATCGCGCATGCAAGCGCCTTACATTGCCCAAGGTTCATTAACTCCCGAGTGAGAGCAGCGTAAGTATTTCAACATGTACTTCAGTATGCTGCGACCAGTGACCGATACTACGATATCGCCTCGTCTTAATAAGTGCATATGAAGTCATATTAAGTGCATCTTATAATGTTATATAAAATTATATTAAGTGCATCTTGTAGTGTTATGTAAAGCCTTATTAAGTGCATATAAAGTATCAAGTTACATATAAAGTATAATTAATTGCATCTGAAAAATTTCATTCTAATATATGACTAATGAAGAACCTCAATGAAGCAAGATAAAAGATATATACTATTGCTAAAAAGTTTGGAGTACCTTATAATATTTTTGTTATGTGTGTGTTTAATAAAATAATTATATCTAAGAAAAAACAACTTAGTTTTATCGCGAAATCACAGAATGCTTGAAACTTTTGAGTATGCACTGACAAAAAATATATTTAAGAAATATATATATATATATGGTGGGCACTATATATAATAACATATTTACTTGTAATAATATAAAATGTAATATATAATTTTTCAAATGAGAAAATATATTTTCTTGAAACTTTAGATTTCCATGAAAGCAATTGCTTAATGAAAGAATTTAAATTTAAGTAAATATGTTATTATTATTTACTGAAATAAATATTTTTCATTTTTTAGATATTTCTTTCTCAATGTATGTTTAAATTATATACACTTTTAGTCTTTTTTAAAAAAGAGGAATACATGCTTAATTTACCGTACCTTTAGTAATTTATTAAGTTTTAGGAGATTTTGAACAATCAACGAAAATTAAGGTGTATTGAGGAAAAAATATTTGAAACTTATTCACAGAAATAAACTTTATATCCCACAAATAAATTTTTAAGTATTTTTTCTCAGTATGTTAATGAAGTCCTCAGTGAAAGAAGTTTCGCACAGACTGAGACATTTTCTCGAGTTCCATTGTGCAAGCGGTTCGAGTCTTCCGCGCTTTGCTATTTAAAACGAAATAATTCCTTACAATTGGAGTTGGCGGGTTAAATAACTCTCGTCACTAATCTCAGGAATTATTCAATCGGCCATGGAGACTGCTGTTACACTAAGTCATGGCGTATGTCCGGTATGCGGTAAGGAGGCCACGTTGAAGTGCGGCAACTGCAGACGCGAGTTCTACTGCGACAAGTCCCATCAGTCGCGGGATTGGTTGCGTCACAAACCCATGTGCTGCGCCTGGGAGATCCGCAGAGATCCCCAGCTTGGACAGCACCTACTGGCTACCCGGGACCTGACTCCTGGAGATGTGATCCTCTCGGAGGTGCCTTTGGTCTGGGGCCCCTCGATTCACGCACTGAACCAGCGGCTTTGCGTCGGCTGCGGCAAACAATGCCTCGAGATTGACATGAGATGCAGCAAGTGCCGCTGGCCGGTGTGCAGGCCTGATTGCGAGGGCCTTACCGACAAAAAGAGACACCAGTCGGAGTGCGCTCTTCTTGCGTGCGCTAGAATCATTCCCAGGTACCTTGGCGCATTAATCCCCGACGTGACTTAACAATTTTTATCGACTTCGGGGCTTAATTAGCGAGAAACATGTAGAAAGGAATTTATTTTAAACCGGAATTTATTTTAGTGCGATCGGCCATGCAATTTTCAATGCTCGAAATGTTAATCCGTTAACGAGCAGTATTTTATTTATTGGGCGTTTCCCAAGCAACACAAATGTCTCAAATACGTCCCAGAGATATCCTAAAGAAGTCTAAAACAAGTGGAATATCTTTCGGACGTCTCTAAGATTGAGGAAAAAATACTTGAAACTTATTCACAGAAATAAACTTTATATCCCACAAATAAATTTTTAAGTATTTTTTCTCAGTATGTTAATGAAGTCCTTTTTAGACATATTATTTATGGATTCATTAAATAGACGATTAATTTATTAATATAGAACTTTATTTTTATGTTTTCAGCATCTCTAATGCCCAGTTTGGTAGAAATAGTTCTAATACTAACCTGACATCCCTCCAGGAGATAAACAGACTGATTCTAGAGCTAGAAACTTGTTTGTGAACTAATTATGGTCTTTAATGAGTTAAATACTCCTAAAGTTATGGGTATTTTTTTTCTTCGCCTTCACACACGTTCGCCGTAAACATCGCGAGCCTGTGTCCGCAGATGCGACGTGCTGCTGGTGATCCGTATGCTGATACTATGGCGCACCAAATCGAAACGCTGGACATCCTTGACCAATCTGCAAAGTCACGAGGACTTGCGAGGACCCGGCACAGAGGCGCACGAGGAGGTGTTGAACATAAGTCAGCATCTCGGCCCGATCGTGACAATGGCGCCCGATTGTAAGAGTGTCTTGCCAAGAATTTGCGGTCTGATCGACGTGAACGCGCTGGAGACTATGCCGCCGGAGGGCTCGGTCGCGATCTACGAGAACATGTGCCTCCTGGAGCACTCTTGCATGCCAAACACGCGGCACAGTTTCCACCTCGACGACAAAGGCAGGCCGCGCATCACGGTGAACGCGATTACGTTCATTAAGAAGTATATTTATATTTTTGTAATTTCAATTGAAAATGGCCCTCCCTCCAGGCTTAAACGACAAGGTAAAATTGTGGAAACAAGGTGAGATCAAGAATATGACTCCAAAATTTTTTTAATTGATTTCTTGTCTTCTGCATATTAAAATTTGCATTAGGATAAATAAATAGCAACTTGACAAAAAACATTCTCTTATTATATAAAAATTGTATTGTTTCAGTGTAGAATTTGACTTTGGTGCAAACATATCACAAAGTTCCAATAGACTGCAGAAAAATACATATCGAGTATATATAAAATACATATCGAGTGGAATTATTGTTGACTCTCTCTCCACCTTGTCGTTTAAGTTGATTTTATTTCAATGTATTAATATTTATTTATATATGTATAATGACGAAATATTGATTTAATATTACGCTTCAAGATAAGCGTTCTTGGCTCTTACTTGTTTGAGATTTTCTTTATTACTACTTATATTATGATTGGATATCATTAGAACCGTTCCTTTTTTTAATTTCCTTTCCTTTATTTTTGTAAAGTTCATCTTCTACCTCCTCATATTTTTGCGAAAAGTTTCTTATTTTTTTTTCAGAGGAGAGCATTTGAGCACCATGTACACGCACGCGCTTTGGTCTACGCGAGCCAGACAAGAGCACCTCCTCGCCACGAAATACTTTACCTGTCAATGTAAACGCTGTGCCGATCCGACGGAATTGAACACGTACTTGGGCAGTTTAAAGTGCCCCTGTAAAAACGGCTATATGTTAGCGAATGATCCTTTGAATCCTAACACCGATTGGTCCTGCAATGCGTGCCCTGGAACGGTAACATCCACGGAAGTCGCGGAGTTGACAGACAGACTAGACGAAGAAGTCACAGAAGTCATGAGGAAGGCGACTCCAAGTATTCTTTCTGATCTCTTGTCACGGTAAAATATACTTGTATACCTTCTTCTTGATCTTCTACGATTATTTCTTGGATCTCCAAATTTCTTCGAGTAAAATTCTACTCCGAAGCTAAAGTGACAGCTCGACAGTAAGAGTCACTCAAATTTGAGAGACTGTCGACAATCATGTAGAGTGAATTCTTTACTCTGAATCGTCGGGTAAATATAATTAAATATAAATATATATATATATATATATATATATATATATATAAACAATTCGAAATTGAATAATGAATCTGATGTATTCCATCAAATATTCAGTCTAATTAATTGAAACATTATTGATATAAATTAAGAATTTGTTTTAACCTCTTCCCAGAATACCGACGTATGTGTAGATACGTACAACTTTTTTTTATTCAAAAGTTATTGATAAAAATATAACAAACATTACTGTAAATCAATGTTCAGGAGATATATGATCCCATAATTAGCAGAGAAGTTAATTAAAATTTAGATCATTCTCTTCAGGTTTTAATGAATTCATTCCTGAGGAGTGTTTAAGTTCTAAATATTCACTCTTGAGATTTTGAGTGACAGTACTTCGACTGCTTCGAGCGAATTTTCACTTGTTTCCAATAAGATCTCGAGAAATCTGAAGAATGCATTGACTCTCAAGCAACAATTAATGAATTAGGTTGATGGTGCTTCTACATCCCTGTCATCAACACTGCGTGGCCGCGAGCCACTCGCTGATACAGCTGCTACCGCCGAGCGACCCTCGGAAGTTGGATTTGTGTAAACGCATCATGGACACGGTAACTCGCTTGGACCCGTACGGTGCGCGTTTGGCGCTTTACACGGCAGTCACTCTACGAGAACTTGCGACCTGTCCTGGAGAGGATAGACTAGTCCATCTGTCGAAAGCAGTGTCCTTGCTGAAATCGGAACCTCCGAATTCGCCCGGCGAAAAGCTCCTAAGACTCATCAAACTAGAACTCAGCTATTAGATTTTAACTAATGATAACGAGAGATGGCTACAGCCAGGCTACCTCCGCTTTCGTTATTCGTCATACAGATAATATGTTATACAAGGTGGGTGTTTCATTACTTTTTTATCAATTTCGAATGGAACTTTTCTCAGCAGCGATTAATTTAATCAACTTTGACAATCTCGAACTATTAATTGGAAATTAATAATTCTAATCTCGGATATCCAAATGTTTGGTAATCAGCTTTTGCGGAACTATCAAGCGACACATGTTTGATTATCAACCTTATTATAACTGAAATTAATTCTGGTATATATTTTTATTCGGGTTATTAAAGGAAGAGAAGTGAGGCTTGTGTGTGTGTGTGTGTATGTGTGTATACGCCAGAGGGACGATTCTTACTTTTATTACGAATGCGTCAAGCGTGCTTTGACGTTTGCACGCCGTACGTGCGTGAACAAGTGCTTACTTATCTATCTAGATCGATTTCTTCATTAGTTCTCGCGATTTCAAGTGTGGCTCACATCCACGCTTATTACAAACTCGTCGTGTAAGTTGCAAAAATACTCGGTGTACTTATTCAAGATAAAAAAGACGTATCGTATATATATATATAAGAATGTACATGTACATTACACAAATAGCAAAATATATATCGATGTACGGGTCGTCCCGCGCCCACCGCGGACGCCGATTGTACGTTGTCGTAAAATCTAGACTAGACTGTGCCTCGAAATGCGACTGAACGTAATCCCCGAATCCGGTAACAGTTCTCCACAATCGTCTCCTGCTACAAATACTACTCTTCTACTTCGATCTCTTGGGCAGCAAGATAGAACGATCCACAAGACCCACTTTAAATATCGCGCTCGATCTTTGTACTTACCTCACAAGCGAGGCGAAATTTTGAAATATAACGAATTTGTACCTGATATCACGTCGCTCGATGTCACCGAGAGAAAGAATATTTATAAAAAAAAAGAAAAGAATATCTGTTCAGTGGACACTCCGTTGGTCAATCATAAATCTTTTCCTCTAGCGTGAACTCGTGAAAAGTGAAAATGTTCTAATGTAAAAGCATATAGAAATGTTCACTTTTCACGAGTTTACGTTAGAGAAAAAAATTCATGATTGACCCCCTGGACAAGATATGCATTTAAAAATCTAAATTCTTTCTCTAAATAGAGAATAATAAATTTTCAAAAATTCTCTTTTACTTAAATAGAACGAACAATTGTTTTCATGAACAGCTGTTTAAAAAAAAATGTATGATTTTCATATTTGAAAAATATTTTATATTGATATAACATGTTAGTACTCACTGAATATTTTTTATTCCTTAAATATTTTTTCTCTCAGTGTACTCACTTCGACGAACTTACGAAACTCGACTTCTTGCGTCAATCTCCAAATGAATAATCTGTGTATTCGATTCGCGTCGAAATGTCCTCACGCGAAGATGGCAAAATTTCACGGACATCATGGATATATATATATATATATATATATATATATATATATATATCTTCGTGTCATAAATTATCTTTGAATCATAACAGTTTGGAAGGGATTTCTTTAAGAAGCCACTAACGGTGCAGATTATCGTCGAGTCGCTGTTGCTGCAGTTCGCTCAATAGGAATCATGTGGATCATGTGTCACAGGAACGTCGTGTGCGCACACCTAGCAGCGGGTAGGACAAGGATTGACCCTTCAGCTGCGCTGTGATCTGCAGCAGGTAAGCCTTACCGGGCTGCAGCCTTGTCAGCTTGAACGGCAGCGCCCGGTCTTTCGGTGGGCTTCGCTTCTCCTCACAGACCTCGAACGTGTACTCGGACCGTCTGCGCCGATGAAGCCCGCACTGATCCGGAACGGTCGTGACACTCGCCAAGGACGAGGAGCTCCGTAGCTCCTTCACCAGGATGCAGTACTTGGCGGCGCCAGCCGGCTCTACTCCTATCGTTACCTCATGACAAGTCCGTAGAGATCGGTACTCCCGCGGTGGGTTTTTTGTTGGTATCTAAGTTAAAAAGAAGGGAAGAAAACATTCTACCTAATTTCCCGTCGAATTGGTTAATCCGACACGAATCGATCTGATGATGATTTCGTCACGCAGTCGTGAGTCTTGTATATTTTTGTAAATTTGTATGTAAAATATACAACACGCGCGGTATATATTAGATCGATTCAAAAGCCCTTTCCACACACTGAAAAGTTGATATGAGCAGAAAAGTTTTAGAAATATTCAAATTTGATAATGAAACGTGTATTCTGCATTTTGAGAGAAAATATCTAAAAAATAAAACATTTATTCGGTGGCTAATAATAACATATTTGCTTGAGTCTAAATTCATTCATAAATAGAATAAACAATTAATTTTTCATAAAAAGCTGCAGTTTAAAGTCTAAAGAAATATATTTCCCTCATTCGAAAAAGAATATATTCAGTATAAAAATATGTATTAGTTTTTTTTTAATAAATATAATATTAGTACCCACCGAATAAGTATTCTTTTTTTTCGGATATTTTTCTTTTCACAGTATATGAGAAAAGACTTCTGAGTCTTTCAATCTAAATATGTGTCGCAGGATATGTGTAAAGTCAGCCTTTTCGAAAAATTACCAGAATTTCTGCCTTTAAAGCTCCCGTAACATATGTATACACGAAAAACACTTAATACACTTAAAACAGTAATAGAAAAGTAAGTAACAAAAAAAAGATAATGAACCAGCGCACATGACGCTATATAGCAGTCTAGCGTGTAAAAATCGTCGAGAGTTGAAAGGAAAGTAAAAACTCTAAGTAGGAAAAATAAATTCTTCTAGTTCAACGTACTTGCGGATAAATGGTGGATGACTCCTGCGTGGCCAGCACTTTTATGGTGGATACTCGGACCAGCTCCTGCGGTGTGGTCGATATACGTAACGTGTACGTCTTACCGGGAGGCAGAGGAGGTACACGTAATGAGGCATATCCCACCACTTCTTTCTCCTACACGACATAGTTACACGCTTACATGCGTATCGACGCGATCATGAATAACACTCGGACATTTAATCACACTCGGCGGCAGCCCGCTTATGCGCGGAGCATAACCGACCGCCACTGAGCGTGGCAATTATCGATTAATTGACCAATTGATTTGCCAAATCTCATGCAGATTGATTCGATTGATGAAGTTAAAATTGCCCCGATCTCTCGCGATCACTTCCGTCAACGTGTCAACGATGTTTACCCGTAATAATGCTCCTTGAGCACTTAATTTCGCCTTCACGATGCCGCCGCCGCAGGGAAGTATGTGAAAGATGCTCGAGGTGTTATCCGGCGGTCGATAGCGGAAGTTCACGAAACCGTCCGTCTTCCGTAGATTAGCCGTGATGTAACGACCAGTTCGCAACGTCAGTTCCGGCTTCTTGAACCTGATGGTGTCGGTGGCGACTCGATTGGAAACGTTGTTCCGCGTATTCACCTGTCGGATGAGCGTTACGACGTTTTCATCGATTCACGAGACTCTCGACGGGTGCGCGTATTTTTTTTTTCTTTTCATTTGCGTTCCCGTCGTTGACCCGCGAACGAGATAACGAATGAGTGAGCAAGCGATTTAGGGCTGATTTGTCAATAAGTAGTTCAAACACTAGAACTACCAAGGGAACTATCAGGATGATTCGTTTTTTTTTTGCGATTTTTTGTGAAAACCACTCAAATTTATAATGCATTATCTGCTTCTGATTAATGTTACATGCAACTGAAAAGACAGGATAAATATCTTTCTTTCTCTTTACGTCGATTTCTTCAAGAATCTGACAGCTCTGACAGAAATAGGTCGTTAATCGTCGGCAATTCTAGCGTTGAACTTAGAGACTACAGTTTAAGGCTCCGTTCTAACAATACGTCTGATGTGTTTGAGCAGAGTTCAAACTTGAATATCTAAGCTTCAACAACTATTGAAAAATCGACCCTTAAAGTTTGACGAGCGGCACCGACCACGTATAGAGTGAAGTTGTACGTAGTGTCGTATCGCATTCTGTGGAGCGTCAGCTTGGTCTGCCGCACGCAGTGCAGTCCTTCCGGGACGCCCCGATGATGGTGCTCCTTCGAGGAGGAGCCGGTTCTCGTCGTATGCGGGTGTGTCTTGAGAACGTTGTGAGCGGCGCAGAGCGTCGACGGCTGCGGCTGCGTGCCCGACGTCACGACTAAACAGTAGCTGGACAGATGAGGATCTACATGGCTGGAAAAACAAAGACGTTATGTCTGGAAAACGCAGCCACGGCCGCCCCCGGAGAGCGCGGAGAATCTTCGCTAATTCGTCGAACGGCGGCAAAGTGCGTCGGGAAGAAGAAGAGGAAAGATGTCGATACGCGGGCCATCTCGCCCACTGCCCCGAGATAATTACGCGACACTCGACGCCAACACTTGGACTTGTACTCCCGCTTTCGTTCTTGCTAATTAAATTCTTGGCATTCGGATGTCTATGGAAACTTTTATCCTCCTTGCCAACGAAGTCGCGCCAATTCGAAGCAGCTACTCATTACGCGCGCAGCACACCTCGTGAAATATTGGAATCCGTATCGAGATTACGAGCCCTGTCGCTCGAATTTTCATCGGGAAAAAGTTTGCAGGGAAAGAAACACACACAGAAAGATATATTACTCTACTGTTAAGAAAAGCGTTTGCTCGGTTCACTTGCCTTCTTTTAAGTAATGGCTGTCATCTCGATGTCTCAAATATACTAATCACAAATTTTAATTCAATATTCTTGATTGAAATGCTAAACTCATTTGGATTCGAAATACATCTAGAATCAATTGGATGTTTATATGATGAACTTATGACAGATTTGATAAATAAACTTATAAAACATTTGAGACAAGTAACGTTAAAAAATGGACTAATTTTTTTTCTTTTTAACGAATGCACCCTGCATTTTCCGCGTGCGAAGAAAGGAGGAGGAAATGAGAGAAAGAGCGCAGAAAATCGCAGGGAGCGATGTGGTACCTTTTGTTCCAGGACACCGTCAGTCGGCGCTTACTTCGTCGCTGCTGAAATCTCAGCGAACGATGCCGATGCTCCTTCTCGTTGGTGTAAATGCCCGATACGTGATCCAAGGCGCTGGACGTCGCGTACAGGAGCACGGTGCCGGGCGAGCGGCTCGTCGAGTCGTCGTTGCCCGCCGACTCCACGGACTTGATCTCGAACCAGTAAAGACCGGCCCGCGTCTTTGGTATCGTGAAATTTTGGTCGTCCGCGCCCTCGTACATGAAGAGAGGTGAACCTGGCTTCAGGGTCTTCACGGGCCACCGCGTTTGCGCTACGTGGCAAATTGATTCGGAATCATTCGACCAGCTCTCGTAGCGACGCGGCGGGATTACACGAGTACCCGATTATTTCAGGCTCATCGTGTACGAGGTGATTACGAACAGTACTCTATTAAGTATATTGCGCTCCCCCCTCGGACGTAGTCTTTCCGTAATACCGAAAGCGCGTGTCTTCCGTAAAAAAAGGTCAGAAAGGAGAAGCAAGGAGAGATCGTAAGAGAAAAGGAAAGAGAAACGAAAAAAAAGAAAAAAAAGGAAAGAAGAGATCGCGATGTGAGTTTTCACAGAATAACACGACGCCAACGTCGACTTTAGCACTTGGAGAGTCTCGACCGCGCTATCGATAAGATGAGCGACGTACGAATATAGCGCGTTCGCATAAAATCGAGACTGTACTGGGAATTGAATATTTACACCGACGCTCTCGAACGGTTCTTACGATTATAAATCAACGGGAAGGGAGATTGGCCAATAGAAGAGTCCCTCACCGCCTCGCTAAATATTTACGCGAGTCGCTAATACTAAACGAAACGATAAAATGCCGGCGAACCGTTTGCCTGAACTTATAGCCGGTGGCCATTAAGAAAGCGAGCAGGATTTCACGTACACTTTATTCCTTCCGCTTCCTGATCGTTTTCGGGCGGCTCCACGTAACTGACCGTCCATGAGATCGGACCGCTGCACGGGCTAACGAGTAACGTGAGAGGCGGGCCTTCTCGTGGGCTCAGGTAATAGAACCTGCAAAAATTTCATCTGCATCCAGTTTGATATTGGTGTTCACGGCACGTCGAACGTATGCAAACGTCGCGCGCACGCAACTCTGGCGAAAATGAAAGAGTTCTTGGCGACGAAGCCGCACTCCTCGTGCGTTCAACGACATTCTCACTACACAGAGAGAATACATATTGTAGTCTTTTCTCATGTAAAAATTCTTTTCAGTTTTTCTATGTATTTCTGATAGTGTACACACAGAGAGTAAACTGTCAACAAGGTCTATATCTCTTGCTAAGAGGAATATAGAAAATCTCACTAAAAACATATACTGACAAAAAGAATATTTCAGAAATAAGAAATATTTATTCGACGGAGATGCTGATAACATATTTACTAGGAAATATTTACTCAGTTACTACCGGAGTAGTTATTTGGAGTAGTGAAAGTGTTATTAGACATGCATACGCAGATATTCTTGTAACTTATTTTTGTTTAACGCTATGTCATTTGAAGATTAACATGCCAAAAATCAAGATATTTTCTAAACAAGAATGTCTTTTTTTCTGTTGTGACGAGTACCTTTTTCATCGAGCAACGACCGTTGTGCGACGCGACGTCAAATCTGTTCGAATGTTTCGGTTTTATATTGCGATTTTTCTAACATTCTGATATTCACATAA